AGAGAGAGAGAGAGAGAGATTTGCTTCTCTGAGAGGAGAAACTGGAAATAATTTGCACAATTTATGAACATTTTTTGGGGGGGAAGGACCTCGTTGTCTCACTCTTGGCAGGAGGCAAAGCATCTTGAAGACTTCAAAATTCACCCTTAAAATATGTCATTGTTTTGAGACAGTTTAAGCCCATGGGGGGAGGAATTTATGCAATATTATTTCCATCTCAGCCTGCAATCGCGGGCAAAGCTGAGTGAAGCTTCCCCTTCGGGCACCAACATTCGGAAAGCACTGAAATGCAGGGGTCAATCTCCTGGTGAGGGCTAGGAAAATAAATGGGATTGCCCGCTCGCTTTCTTTTTTAAGCCTCATACTCTTGTTTTTTGTGAGGGAGACACCGCCTTCTTCTCCTCTGGCTTGGGGAGGGGCTTCCAACCCTGTCTCAGGGTGGGGAGTTCATGGGAGATGGCCCTGCCCACCCTGGGTGCCAAAAGGGCTGCTTACACCCTGGCGGACCCCCTCCTAGCCTTCACGAGAGAGGCTTGTGTAGGAGCAGGTCAGGCTGGAGAGTAGACCCGCCGAGGACCACACAAACATCCATGCAGATGCGCAAAGAGTAAACGAGGATGAAGATGATGAAGGTGACACTGACAATGGTTTCTTGCCTCTGAAAAATCAGGAGGGAAAGGCTTTAAGTCTCTGAATTCTTTTGCTCTGCCCCTTTTCTCTCTCACTTGCCCCAGACACGTCTCCCATTTAGAACCCAAATCCATCCAACTTGAACTCAGGACAAGCGAACGGGCATGGGTGCAAGTAAGAACGATCTCCCTCCCTCCAGGGTTTCGTTTAGCATCCCTCGTTCTGGCTGTAAGGGTGGTGGAATGGATTAAATGCTTGATGTGTCCCCTGTTCTAGCCAGTGTTTGCTGAGGTTTGGCCGTTAATACCTTTTTTGTAATGCCTTTCAAGCTAATATCATGCATCCTTAAAAAAGAATATGCTAATGATCTCTCATTTGCATTTCTCTCCCCCCCTCCCTGTCTCCTTCTCTCTCTCTCTCCCCATTTGGGCTGCTGCTTAGCAAGCAAACTGCTGATTTTGGTGCTTTGCCTGAACTTCCCGTTGGAGGTGGAGTCGTGCCCAGGGGCTTGTGTATGCTACAGTGAACCCAAGATCACCATCAGCTGCCAGCAGCAGGGACTCGGAGCCATCCCCGCGGAGATCCCGATCCAGACCCAGCGGATCTTCCTCCACAGCAACAGAATAAGCCTGGTCAGGTCCACCAGCTTTACCTCCTGCCGGAACTTGTCTATCCTGTGGATCCATTCCAACAACATCAGCCTCATCGAACCCGGGGCCTTCTACGGGCTGGAGAAATTGGAGGAGCTTGACCTCAGTGACAACATGAACTTGAGGTCCATCAACCCCACCACTTTCCAAGGCCTCGTCCACCTTCATACCTTGCACCTTGACCGCTGCGGGCTACAGGAACTCTCCACGGGCCTCTTCCGAGGGCTTTTCTCCTTGCAGTACCTTTACCTACAGGAGAACAACCTGCAGAACCTCCTGGACGATACCTTTGTGGATCTTGCTAACCTCACGTACCTGTTTTTGCATGGTAACAAAATCAAAAGTTTGTCGGAGAATGTGTTCCGGGGGCTGATCAACCTGGACCGGTTGCTCTTGCACCAGAACCGGGTGAGCGCGGTCCACCGAAGGGCTTTCCATGACCTTGGGAAAGTGTTGACCTTGTATCTTTTTAATAACAACCTGACGGTGCTCACGGGAGAGACAATGGCGCCCTTGGTGTCCCTCCAGTATCTACGTTTGAACGGCAACCAGTGGGTGTGTGACTGTCAAGCCCGGTCCCTCTGGAATTGGTTTAAACAGTTCAAGGGCTCGTCGTCGGAACTGGAGTGCCACCTGCCGGCTCACCTGGCGGGCCGGGATCTCAAGCGGCTGCAGAGCACCGACCTCGAAGGGTGCGTGGACTCTTTCAACCAGATCCGAACGAGCGTGTTCAGCACCAAGACCAGATCTGGCAAGTTGCCGACCTCCGCCCCGCCCCTCCATCCTCCGGACAGCTCCCGGAAGTGCTGCCAGCCAGAGATGGACAAGTCGTTCATTTATGAAGCCAAAGCCAAAGCGGGGCCCTCTTCCCACAGCAGCCGGCCCTCCTTGAACAATCCGCTCAAGGACAAGGAGAACATGGCCAAAACGAAGCACCAGGCGGAGGTGGACCCTTCTAAAAATGGCAGCAACAAGCAGATCAATGACTCCCCTTTTGGGACTTTCCCCAGTGCCGTTGACCCTCCTTTGACCAATTTCAAGCCAGAATTATTAGGTCCCATAGAACCTTCTACAGTCCCCACCAAAAAGAGGCAGGGCTGTTCCCGAAAGAATAAATCCCGGTCGCAGTGCCGTGTTGCTCAGGTAGCACAAAACTCATCCACGTCACCGCTCCTTCCGAGTCTCCTGATCGCCCCTTTGGTGTGGGGCCAGTTTTGGTTCTGCTGAAAGGGAGCCTTTTTCGTTTCGGAGCGATGCCCTTTGGCTTCCCAAGCAACCCCGAACCTTTAAATAAAAATTAAGCCACCTCTCCAAATGTTGCAAATAAGAAGGAAGGAAGCTCTACACCCTGCGGGGAAACGTGGTCACACTCAATGTTAACTTGGATGCCTTTTCTTAGAAAAAACAAAAACACAAAACAGAACAGACACACGATAAAAAGCAAAACTCAGCCACAACAAAATTGTACATAATTTATTTGTTCCTCTTGGAATTCTATGTGTTTCGGTTGTGTTTTATTTTATTTTTTTTAAATGGTCGTCGAAACGGCACTTTTCCTTTCCGCAAGGTTTGGGCCGCAGCGGAGGGTGAGAACAGAAAAGCAAACGAGCCACCGGTGAGAAGCAAAAAATTGGGAAAAAAAAGGTGCAAGAAATTCAAATGTTTTTTTTATAATTAAAAAAGAAAAAAGAAAAAAAAAGAAAGGAAGTGTTGCTTGTAATTTGAAAACGGCTCTTGGATGATGTTGTAAGTTTTCCCCATGCCACAGAAGTGACCCGTCAATGTCATTTCCACTCCTGCATTTCTGAATCTCGAGGTTTAATCATCTTCCGTTTCCATTATGCCGTGTTTACAGAGGAGGGGCATTTGTTAAAGAATGCTGCCTTTTCATCCACTCAAGGCTGGCGTATATATATAAAAATATAAATATATATAGAGAGAGATATAGATATGCATTTTATTTTACTTGTGTACAAGTACAGAAAAGAAAGATATGAAATAAAGATTTTCTCTTTTTTTCCCTTTATGGTGTCATCACACACACACACACACACACACAAACAATGTCATATATTCAATGATGCTTGAGTTCACCTCCTCTGCCTCCTGTTTTAGCTCCTGCAAATTCTACCTGCAGTGCAGAATCGGCTGGACAGAAGGTAATGAATAAGCGATGCGCGGTGGGCCATTATGCAATCTCTAATTAGCATCAGCAGAGGGTTCCCTCACACAAAACCCACTGCGCTAATGGCCCCGCTTCCTTTCCCTGCTGCCCTAAACTCTCTTCTCCTGGCCTCATGCATATTTGAAGATGCCCAGAATAGGGAAGGGATCTTGAAGGCAGGCCTGGAGCCAACCCTGCAAAGCCTTCGAGCAGGAGAGCAAAGTGCAAGCCATCCGTAAGTGCTGAGAAACGAGGCGAGATGTAATGGATTGCAGGCGCATGTCTTTGGCCAAACAGGCTGCCTGCATCCGTAGATGAAATCGCAGCGAGATCTTTGACTCTTGCCCTCCCGGTGTGAGTTTTTTTGGGGGGGCTTTGTTTTGTTTTGAAAGAAGCATTTGCAAAAATCTGAGGGGTGGGTGGGTTGAGGAAAAAGACATGACTTTGCAACACACACACACACAGAACACAACACAACACGAGGCAACTCCCACATTTTTTGGTTTGGCCAAAAAAAAAAAAAGGGTCCAGAATTGCAATGATTGTGGACTTTGGGGTCCAACGGGGGGGAAACTTGAATCTGACCCCTCACCTGGGAGAATGAAAGAAGCTGTGATTTATCCTGCCCCTGTGAAACTCATGAGGAGGAAGAGGGAGATACTGGGAGGGTGGGATTACAATCACAAAATAGAAGACTGAACTGAATTCTTCTCAGTTTTGGTTTGTTGACCTCAAAACCTGAATATACCATGTTGTAAATGAGCAGCTTCACACACACACACACACACACACACACACAATTCTCTGGGCTTTTCTAGTTTCCCATAACGTATGAGGGTTGTGTACTGATGATAATGACATTTTTATCTGCACCATCTATTTGACATTGCTTTTAGTTTGCTCAATACAGTGATTTTCCTATAACTTTGCACACTTTTCCTCCCTCCCAAAAGCATGATTTATGTTTAGTATTGTGTTTTTTTTCCCCTGAAAAGCAGAGTTTAGTACTTTGGCTGCTCCCTTTCGAAGCCAATGCCTGGAAAGAACTTCCCACCTGGAAGCTTTCGATCACAAGTAGAGATGGGCACGAACTGCTGAACTGGCAATTTGTCCTGGTTCGTCCTACAGATGAGCAGGGGTTCACTGCTTTCCAGCCCCACCTCCTCTGGAAGGTATCCACTTAGGGACAGCTCCCAGAGGAGGCAGGGCAGGGAAGCTGTTGCACTGTCTCTGAGTGGGTGCCTGTCAGAGGAGGCAGGGCAGGGAAGCTGTTGCACTGTCTCTGATTGGGTGCCTGTCAGAAGAGGCAAGGCAGGGAAGCTGTTGCACCGCCTCTGAGTGGGGGCCTGTCAGAGGAGGCAGGGCAGGGAAGCTGTTGCACTGTCTCTGATTGGGTGCCTGTCAGAAGAGGCAAGGCAGGGAAGCTGTTGCACCGCCTCTGAGTGGGGGCCTGTCAGAGGAGGCAGGGCAGGGAAGCTGTTGCACTGTCTCTGATTGGGTGCCTGTCAGAAGAGGCAAGGCAGGGAAGCTGTTGCACGGCCTCTGAGTGGGAGCCTGTCAGAGGAGGCAGGGCAGGGAAGCTGTGGCACGGCCTCTGAGTGGGAGCCTGTCAGAGGAGGCAGGGCAGGGAAGCTGTGGCACGGCCTCTGAGTGGGAGCCTGTCAGAGGAGGCAGAGCAGGGAAGCTGTTGCACTGCCGCTGAGTGGGTGCCTGCCAGAGGAGGTGGGGCTGGGAAGCGCTGAACACTTGTTTGGCTGAAGGACAAACTGGCACAAACCACAAGTTCAGTGGTCCCTGCCCATCTCTAATCACAATTCCAAAAAGTGTGAGTGGGGAAGAGAGAAAATACAAATAAAACCCTATCCTTATCCCTAACCCTAACACTAGTCCTAATCCTAAAACAGATGGATAAAGACCAGGAGATCTAGACTCAAGTTACAGGAAGGTTGAACATTTAGGATGAACATCAGGAAAAACTTTTGAACTGTTAGGGTGACATGAAAATGGAACCCATGACCTCAGGAGGTGGTGAGCACTCCAAGACTGGAGGCATTCAAAGGAAAACTGAACAAGCACCTGTCAGATCTTCTTGGACTGGGATCCCTACACTTATGAAAGGGGTTGACTTGATGGCCTTAGAAGCCCCTCCCAACGACTGGAGGCATTCAAGGGAAAACTGGACAAGCACCTGTCAGATCTTCTTGGATTGGGATCCCTGCATTGAGAAAGGGGTTGACTTGATGACCTTAGAAGCCCCCCCGACTCCATGATTTTATGACCATGAAAAACACAAGAAGCAGAAAGTTTACAATTCTTCGGCCATATAATTATAATGGCTGGGGAGGAGAAGAGACAGATTGTTAGAGTTTATCAAGGTAAAACAAAAGAGCAACAAAGTGCACAAGGCTATCCCACCCCAAGTGAGATTTGTCTGATGATGCCCAGCCTGCAGTAGAAGGGGGTTAAGAGGAGGAGAAAGAAGTTCCTTAAAGAGTCCTTTATTTTTAATGTGATCCCTTAGGACGCTTGCCCTTTTATAAGTGACATCCAAAGATGTGGGAGAAGGGAAATGAAAGTATGGGGCAAGCGATTGTTAGGAAAACAGTGAGAAGCTCCTGCAGTAGATCAGTCATTGGCCTGATCCTGATTCAGGGGTGCTCATCTCTTTTTTAATGGCTCCTTTCCTCCACCTAAGACTTAGAGATTCCGGAGTTTTAAAAAGTGCTTAGAGATAGCAACTCTGGCCAAGTGGGATCTACCGGATCCTAAAGTTTACTCAGTTGAATGGGGGGGGGTTGTAATATGTTTTGTGATGCAAGCCTGTGTATCCATGAAAAGAGGTGATTCTCCCCCCCCCCCGTTTCAGTACAGAATTAATTTATTTACTGCAAGGTCAATGGATACTTCCAGCCACTCAGGAAAGGTTTCAGAGTACAGACAGCTAGAAATTCAGAAAAAAAAATGTGATTTGTTTTTATTCGTGATTCGTCAAGGTCAATGAATCACGAATTATGATTTCATGAGTTTTTCCGACAAATTGATTTGCCAATTCATTTTTTTTTACTTTAAACTCTTATAAAACAACCCCCCAGCTGAAGGAGCCCCCCATCACCACCAAGAAAGTTCCTCCCAGGCATCCAGAAGCACCAGAATCAACGAGAGGCTTCCCCTGACTCTCCTCTAAGATCCCTCCAAGTTTGGTGAAGATTGGTTTTCAGACATCCAAATCATGCCCTCCCAAAGTGAGGTCCCCCCCCCCCAGGAAAGTGCCCTTTAGCAACTGGCTTGTGGAAACCAAATCTTCACCAAACTTAGAAGAATTATAGAGGTGTGTCAGTATAAGACTTTCCTTGGGGGGAAGGGAACCACTTTGTGGATGTATAACTTGAACATCTGAAAACCAATCTTCACCAAACATGTGATTTGATTGTAGCAGAGCGTCAGAGGAAGTTTCCCTGCAATTTTAGTGTCTCTAATTGGGGGGGGGGGGCTTCATTTTATAGCGAAACAAATTGATGAATCAAAGATTGCTTTAAAAAAAATCATTGATTTGTATTTGTAAGGAGCATTTATTTGTACGAATCCAAATCAATGAATTAGTGATTTCTGAACAAATTTGGTGATTCGTTTTTTTCAATTGATGAATCAAAGATTGCTTTAAAAAATCATTGATTTGTATTCGTAAGGAGCATTTATTTGTACAAATGCAAATCAATGAATTAGTGATTTTTGAACAAATTTGGTGATTCGTTTTTTTTAATTCACGCCCATCGCTATTTCAGAGTCATCGCAAGGACACTTCTTATTGATTGTTTGACCCCACATTGTTCTGGGAGAGGACCAGCTTGAGCCAACGGGAAACTCAGATTAAGGCTGTTTGTCTCCATCACTGCTTGTTTCGATCTCTTGAGGCTCCTCTTTCAGTCATTATGGTATTTTGGTGCCCTAGAAATACAGGAATAGTAGAAACAGAGAGGGATAACTAGTGGTAACATCTAGGTTTTCCTTATTATAGTATAGCCTCTTTCTTATAACTGCAGGACAAGAGGAGAGAGTTTGTAAAATGCTAGCTACGTTTTTAGAAATAAGAGGATTGTGACCTCCATCCATTAGCCACAACGCCCAAATTTTCAATTTCCTTGAAGACGAAGCAAAAGGAAACAAAAACTCACTAGACCTTGTAGATGATGGGATATGATGCGAAATGGGTACCTTCTTTTTTTGTAACCTTCTGCCTCGATTCACATCGTTTTAGCAGTTTTTTCTTGCGTTATTCTGCGCCGTTAAGTCAGAAACAACCTACGCTGAACCTAATGGGGCTTTCAAGGTAAGTGAGGGATTTAAGGTGTGATTATACCAGTTCTAGTCCTCCTAGAGAGTTTCCATGTATGAGTGGGGATTCGAACCCTGTTCTCCAGAGTCCTAGTCTATCACTCTGTCCACTACACCACACCGGGTATCCATTTTGGCCCCATGAGTGGTATTTTTAGCTAATTAATTCATTAGGTTCAAAGCTCTTGTATATATATGCATATATACAAGAGAAATGTGGGAGTGCATTGCAGAAATGAGCCTGTTGCATGCAAATTATGTTCACACCTCACTATGCTGCTTCTACACACACACACACACACACACACACACACACACACACAAACTGCAGGAAGCTTGTGTTCTGGAACAGACATTCAGTTAAACACAGGCGGAACCGCTCCTTTTCAAACGCTTCTCTGTTAATTGCAAAATAAGGCTGAGAGCGGTTAAACAACTTTCTAGA